AATATCATAAAAATATTCAAATAATATTTATTAATAAAGAATAAGGTAAAGGTTGAAATACAAATTTTAAAAATACTTTTCTAATTCACATTAAAAATTTTCATTGAAAATAATTTCTTCTTTAAAACATAAAAAAATCTAGAAAAAAATCTTTAATACTGCACAATACTACAATCAATTTTAGATATACTTACATAGATAGAAATAAACTAACTAAAATAACAAAACTAAATATGTTAAATAACTAAATAAACTAAAATAACAATACTGTATAAGATAAATAGTAAAATAAATATAAATAACACAAAAAATATAAATAACACAAAAGTTCTGAGTTTTTATTAGGAAAAAAAAATAAAGTAAAAATAAAAGGTAAACATAATAACCAATATCATTGATATTTTACTTGATAACCATGAGAATATTTTTCTGTATATGATATGAAACATTATATTTAACAGAATTCTATGCGTTGCCTAAATAACTATACTTGAATAAGTTACTTTCAGAAAAAATATACATGTTCAACTTCAAGGCAACTAATGCTTCTCTTGACTTATTGCAGAGATTTTGCGAATTAGTGAAATAATGAGTAGTGAGTAAAATTTAAAAGACTTTTTTCTGTTATTTAAAGAATTGGAAGAACAATATTTTACCAATTATTTGAATATTCTTTTGGCATTGTTCTCCAAATCAGTAGTTGTACTTCTTATACATTCACTACATCCCATAGAGTTTTTCAATATTGTTTTAAAACATTTAAATATTAAATCAGAGCCATTTTCAAATCACTAACCAATTCAAGTTTTAATAATGAATAAATTCTAATATTATTTTTTACAATTCAGATGATTTATTTACCCTTCCTGTTAGGGTAAAAAGATTTACTTTTATACTGTTGACAATCAAAAAAATTTTGCCTTGAAGTGATTATAGAGAAAAAAACATAAACTAAATAATTTTACTTTAAATAAGAAACTTAGAAATCAAAGTTAACAATAGAAAATGCTTAAAAAAATGACAACAGCTTGAGGAAGATAACTTATTTAATGTTAAATAAGTTGTTCTCATTCTTTTTCATACATCTTATATTTTTGACTTAGTGTTGCTTGTATTGTCTGTTAAACACCTTTTTCCAAGTTTGCCTTCCTAAAAGTATAACTCTCCGATTACTTTTTTCTTTTAGGAGGAAAAATTCATGCTAAAGTAATTATGACTTTAATTACTACTAGCTTGTTAATAAGTAATCATCATTTTGAAGCAATAAAAACTCAAAAAACAGCAACATTTGTTAGGATTGACACAATAATTTACATGTGACATAAAAAAAATACTTTGAATAAATAACTAATTTACATTTTAATTCATTTATTACTAATAAGTAATAACTAATAATATTAGTTGTTTACTATTAAGTAACTTATAATATAACAACATAATTACTATGATTTTAGAAAAAAAAATTACTCTTTTTTGTCACAGCATTTTAAAATAACTTTTCTTTTTTTAAGTGAAAAAAATGAAAAGAACTTTTATGCACATTTTCAAAGTTTTTTAAAATCATTCAATAAAAGTATGAAACAACGAAACTACCCCAATAACGAATGGAGATCCGCTCAAATTTTAAATATAAAAAATACTATACATCTGTACCAAACGGATCAACGCTAATTTATAAAAAAATAATATTTTAAATTTCGCCATATGGAAAGCAACTGTAATTTAATTTTCTTTTTTTTAATTTTTTTCAAGTTAATTTAAAAAAAATTTTGAACTTTGCATGCTTAGCGTTCACATTAGTATAAAAAGTTTAGTTCTTAACGGTGTCAGGTCAGGTTTAACATGTCAGGTCAGGTTATCCTGCAGCCGGTAATATTTAACCTATTTACATACGTAAAAAATCACCTATTTGTCGGGACACTAGGATTTTTTTTTTGTAGTTATTTAGGTGCTCCCAGAAGTCCTTATCACAGAGCATTGCGGAAGAGCATTTAACAGGAAGTTCACACCTCCTTCCGTACCAATGTCGCTTGTTGGGCTGGCGTCAATCCTCGGACATCTGGGTTCTGAGCCAGAACTCTAACCACTGCGCCACGGCTGTGGATTGAATCCACAGAATTATTCTTTTATCTGCTATCGTTTAGCATTAATTCACTCTATCACTTTTCTCTTTGTTCTATATCGTTCTATATCTATATCTATATCGCTCTTCTTCATTTTAAGACTGAACTCTTTTTGATGTTACATCTGATCAAATTGACCATGCTCTTTTTCTTTATCCTTTATCCGGGATCATTGTTGGTGGTGACTTTAGTGCTCATCACACTAAATGGCTTGGTTCTAGTGTCAGTGACTCTGCAGGCGTTAAGGCCCACAACTTTTGTCTTTCTCATTCTCAAACACAATTAAGATGCTTTCCAACTCGCTTTCCAGTCAACCCGAATCGTTTATCTTTTCTACTCAACTTATGTCTTGTTTATTATTATTATTATTATTTCCTTTATAAATAAATACAATATCTAGATATTTATGAGTTCTTACAAAAATCCGCAAAATATTTGTTTAGCCGTATCGACTTTGGGTGCAAAATTTGCAGCTTACGCGAGTTCCTAAGATTTCTAACAATAGTTCTGACTGAAAATAACGATCTAAGAGAATGATCAGACAATGTGGCAACTTTTTTTATTAATCTGAGGCAAATGCCTTCAAGACGTTTTGCAGGTTGATTGGAACATGGGCGTTTGTTGCATAAAACAGAAGCGCGTTTTTTTTTATGGTAGACAGTTACATGAGTTGAGTGCGAGAGATATCACAGAACGCAGGCCATGCGTAAGCCATATGCGAAAAAACTAATGCAAGATATGTTTTCCATGTTAAATTATTAGGAATACCATATGATACCAGGCGATGGATAGCCGACATTCCGGTGCAACATTTCTGATACTAGTCAGTGCTCAGTTTTATTTACATTCTTCCTTAGCTGTTTCTGATCACGGTTTGATTTTTCTAAAACTATTATCTCATTCTTCTTCATCATCAGAATCCCCCTATCATCGTACCTTTTACAATTAGATTAAAGCTAACTTGGACTTTTTCCATGGTGTTCTTTGTGATGGCCCTTGGGTATAGATCTTCCGTCTTCCTAATTACAAATATGCTTTTTATGTAACTTCTTGGATTCAAGCTGGCATGGAATCTTTTATTCCCTCTCAACGGTTCCAAGTCAAGTCTCATTTCTCTATGGTTTTCTTTTAATTATGTTATTGCCATATCCATTCGTAATCATCCTTCAAAACAATTCTCCAAAAAATAGACATATCCATAATAAGGGCAAATTTGTAATTCCTCCTCTCTTACATGGTTCAGATACCTCGACTGAATTGTTTGCTAAGAACTTTTCATCAGTCTCATCTCTTGATGCCACTAATCATATCCTACCTGATATAGCCAACAAACAGGTTGATTCATTATTTAATATTTGTGTCACTAAAGCTTCTGTATCTAAAATGATTTCCTGCTTAGACTCTTCTACATCTGGTGGTCCTGAAAAGATACTTATTATAGTCTTGCAGAAGCGTTCTCTATACTTTAAAAATTATTTAACAAGAGCTTATTAGAGTCTTGTTTTTCAGCCTGCTGGAAGCCGCAACTGTTATCCCAAATTTTCAAAAACTCTGGTTCTACTGCAGATTTGTGAACGGTAATAACCGATAGGTTTTATGGTGCATTAGATTGATGTGGAGAGGTTAAGGTTATTGCTCTCAACATTTCTAAAGCCTTTGATAAAGTTTGTCATACTGGTCTACTACAAAAGCTTTCTTTTTACGGTATATCAGGTAACATATTTAAGATTATAGAGTCCCTTCTTACCAATCGTAGTGTAAAAGCTACTCTCAATGAACAGTACTTTTCTTCATTTCTTTTAACTTTAGGGGTTTCTCAATGTTCTATCCTTGGCCCTATACTTTTTTAAATTTACATTAACAATCTCCCTGAAATCCTCACTTCTAAGATAACATTGTTCGCTGATGATTCTACCATTTATTCTTGTCTTGATAAAAAGCAAACACTCTTTGATTGCTTTGAGGGAGAATTTGAGCTTGAAAAGGATCTCACTTCTGCTTCAGCATGAGATTTTCAGTGGCTGGTGAATTTTAGCTCAGATAAAAGTAATTTTTTTCAGCTAATTGTTATCGCAATAATCTGTATTTCTTATATTTATGAACGGTGATTTACTCAATGAGTCATCTACCCTTCGTCTCCTTGGATTAACTCTTACTTTCGATCTTTCTTGGAAACCATTTATGAGATCGATTGCAAAATTATACTCTGCTTAGATTGCATCTCTTTATCTTGCTTGCCAATTTCTTACTCCAGATTCTATTCTTAATCTCTTTAAATCTCAAATCCGTCCATGTATGGAATACTGTTGCATATTTGAAGCGGATCTTTGAATGATGTTTTTTCTATTTTAGACAAGGTGCAAAAACACATTGTAAACATAGTTGGACCTGCTCTTGTAGCCAACTATGTTTCAAACCCTACCTCTGGGTAAGTTTTGCGATATCGGTTGAGAAGGAGGCAAGAACGGTGCGGCCGTGGTGCAGTGGTTAGAGCGCTTGCTTTTTAAGCAGGAGATCCCGGTTTGAAACGAGCTCTGGACATATTTTCGTGTTACGGTAAGGAAGGAGGCATTAACTTCTTGGTTAAATGGACTTCCGCGGTGCTCTGTGACAAGACCATTAGGTCTTCTTGGGGCACCTAAAAAATCAATAAATAAAAAACTTCCTATTAAATGCTCTTCCGCGGTGTTCTGTGATAAGACCGTAAGGACTTCTTGGGGCACCTAAACAACTTTTGAAAAAAAAAAAGAAGATAAGCAGAAGATGTAATAAATCTGGCCAGAAGTCATTTTCCACAACTCCGCTGCACAATCACGTAAAAAAAAAAATGAATATTGAATCTTCTTCAGCTGCACAAACAAGTTTAAAATGAATAAA